TATATATATATATATATAATACAAAATCCCTTTATTGTCCCACAATGGGGAAGTTCTTGAATTTACAGCAGCAAAAAAGTTATAGAAAGAACCTTCACACAAATATGTACCATAGAAAAATGCGTACGAATAACAGAATAGTGAAGAGTTAAAAGATAAACAATAAAATATTGTACTGTAAAGTGTTTTACCAGTATAAAAACTCACAACTTGGACAATAAATAACCATTATACGGCAAGGGACATTTTTGCAGTAATGGGTATTTAAAAAATAGCAGCAACATCAGAGATGTGCAAAATGACAGCAGCATGTTATTTAACTGACTAAGATAGAAACTGCAAAATCAGCATGAATGTAACAACTTATTGAGGTTGTTGGGAACATCTATACACACAAGTAAACTATACTGCAATAAGCACATTAAGATGATTTTTATTGTTGCACTTGTTGATTCAGATTCAAAAATACTGAGAAAATGGAAAAAAAAAAAAATCAAACTATCACTTTAGAGGTTGCTGGTGGAAAAAGCTGAGCCTGTCAAATCACAAGAACAAAATGGTGTGGATGTTTTACCTACATCCAAAACTCTGTGTGAAGCAGAACCCTAACTCTGCAGATCACTTCAAATGCTCTATTTACACTGTAAACATAGTGGTGGTGGTGTTATGCTGTGGGAATGCTTTTCCTAATTGGAGAAGCCAGTCTTGGAGGATAAAGCTAACAAAAGTGCAATACTAGAAGAAAACCTCATAGTCAGTATCAAATAATAATGTGAAATGGGATGGAGGTTCAGCCTTGAAACACAACAACCCTTTATTTACAGCAAGAGAAGCATATTTATGTTTAAACATGGCCTAGTCAAAGACCAACCCTTAAGCTAAGAATCTTTTTTCTAACATGAAGATAAATGTATATACAATCTAAGTAGTTTCAGAACAGGCAGACCCTATAAACCTAACTATCAAAAAATAGATGCATACTACATTTTTCAAATTTGTATAAATAAAAACATTTTAAAAACTTTCAACTTCACAATTGTGCCCTATTTGTCTTGTTCTGTCGTATAAAATCCCTTTAAAATACACAAATCGATGATGAATCTTTAACCTGCAATAAAAGGGATCCTTAAAACTCAAAATTCAAAATCTCTTTGTTTCACAGGAGGGCTTAAAGGTGATGCGCACCATAGACGACCGCATTGTCCACGCCCTGAACACTACATTGCCGACAGTCTCCTTCTCAGGAAAAGTGGACGCCACACAGACCTGCAAAGAACTGTACGAGTCGGTGAGTATCAGGAAGACGATTTGATAGTTTGAAAACTGTGACCTCCTCTGGTTTCTGAACAACTTTAACTTTTCTCTGCCTTTCCCAGCTGATGAAAGCCCATCTGAGTAGAGACAAAGCCATTAAGACCTGTATAGCCCAGAAATCGGAAGTGGTAGCACGGCTGAGGGAAGAACGAGAAAAAGACAGTGAGGATCTGAAACTAATCAAACAGCTTCGAAAGGAGCAAACCAATGTAAGCAAGAGAAAATTAGACTTCAGTCTGTCTGTGATGGTTGTATAATTGGTCATATTTGGCAAGAAAACTGCAATCCAACTATTGTATTAGTAGTTTTTTTTTTTTCCTCTTGGTTAAATGGGGTGCGTTAAACGAAGTGTAAAAGCCAATTAACCTCAAACAGTGTGAGACTCTAAACATTACATTAGAAATAAATTGCAAGTTGATAACTGTAGGAATATGTCAGCCAACATTTACTGCACACCAGTCCTTTGCAATTTACTGCAATGAGCATATCTTTATAGTGTTTTTCCAACCCTAATCTAAGTGCATTTTCTTTATGCAAACTTATTTTTTCCCCTTTTAATCTCATGCTGCCCTGCCTCCAGTTGAAGCTCATGCAGTCGGAGCTGAATGTTGAAGAAGTTGTCAACGATAGAAGCCTGAAGGTAAAATATACACCTATCATTTCTATACCTGCCTGAGCAAAATACAAAACATTGATGCAACACTTATGCTTCTCTTTCTCCTTTCAGATTTTCACTGAACGATGCAGAATCCACTACCAGCCTCCAAAGGTTTAGTGAAGATCCATCTGATGAAAGAATGCCTCTTCGCTCTGTTTGAACCCAGATCGGAGCTGAGCGCGTGGGAGCTGACGCCTTGAACCGACCGCAGGGCGCTCGTCCAACAGACCGACCGGACCTCCTTTCCACTTCACCGTCATTATTGTATAGAAGAATGATTGCTGTAGGAGTCATCTTTTTTCTTCACAATTAATTAATGTACAAAAGCTTTTTTTTTTTTTTTTTTTAAAGAAAAAGAAAAAATAAGATAAGGAACTGTTTTCAAATGACTTCTGGTGTCTGTGTTTTATATCGCTGGCTGTTTCAGCTTCTTCTTTGTCCTATTTTAACAAAGTCATCTTTACAAAAAGGAATATATTAGTGTTTCAAGAGACACACCACAACATCCACTGATCAAGATGCTTCTGGTTTGATCTGATTATCTTAAAAGTGCATCTAATAGAGAGTGATGCAGATTTTTTGTTTTATAATGTCCCATCTACTGTAATTACAGGTCCTTGTCAAAATATTAGCATGTTGTGATCAAGTCCATTAATTTCCATAATGTCATGATAAAACTTGGAACATTCATATATTTTTGATTCATTGCACACTAACTGAAATATTTCAGGTCTTTAATTGTCTTAATATGGATGATTTTGGCATACAGCTCATGAAAACCCAAAACATTATGGAAAATAATTAACTTTATCACAATATGATAATATTTTGAGAAGGACCCGTAAAAATAACATTGAATTATGGGGATAATTAAAAATGGAAAATGAAGAAAACTTGGTCATAAAACAAAGTTAAACACCGCATGCTGTGTTAAATTGCAGTATTAAAAGAGGGAAGACTGTGAAGGAGCAAGTCTTACATGGAGAGAGACAGCCTGCTCCATAACTTTGGTCCTGATGACATCAGAGCTTCAACCTGATGGTTGGAATGACGATTTGATACCTCTTGGGGTATCCAAACATATCAGGCCTTCTGAAACTGGAATCAATAAGCTGCTCTACAAATGATGTAATGGTTAAAAGTGAAAATACTTGGATATTTAAGGATAATATACTCTTTAGATCAATAGCAAGATTATGTTTATATCATCCTAAAGTGATGCATTGGCTCATTGGGCGCACAGCTGACCTAAAATCAGACATTAGATTACATCAGCTTTCAGGAGTTGAGTTTATCAGTTACATATTAAAGGAAAAAAAATATGGCCAGGACCCTGAACTAGTATTTGGGACCACATCTGGATATGATTGAGAAAAAAAAAAAAAAAAAAAAACATTCTGTCTCTTGGATTTTTAAATTTTATTTTATTTCTAATTTCTCTTTTGTTTCACAGGTTTATATCTGGTGTGTCTCTTTTGGTAGATGGGTTCAGTTATATTATTTTATTTCAATTCAGAATCTGGAATTTTTTATTCACACAGGAATTCATGACTCCAAAAAAGCACTTGTATAAAACAGTCACCCATATTTATAGACATAACTTGTCAAACTTAAACCATCTAAGTGCCACAGTCTTTTATTATTGCTGATTTAACAGCAGCAGATAAAAGAAGAAAACATACCATCAATTATAATCACAATCTTTGTTCTTCAATCTTTACATATGAGATTGCGCTGATTAAAATACCTAAAGCTAAAAACACCATAAGCTAGAATGTATATAGACATTATTATATTTAACTATTTCACAATAACAAAGCAGTGCATTTTTCTGTAAGAATTGACAAAATGTTGTTTTTTCCTTTAGTCTAAAGGTCTAATGGGTTCCAGAGGATCTCCCTCTTTGTGTGTCTCTACCCTCTTAAGTAAAGTTTTAATCTCCCCCCCCTGCAGAGGGCTTTGGAAGGCATAAATATGGAGGTATTCACTTCCTCCCACATGAACCTGCAGGAAGGAAAGGAACACCTTTATTTTTTGCATAAACACAAATACATATACACATAAAAACAGGAACTTTTTATTAACTATATGATTTAGGTGTTACCTTGATGAGAAAGTTTCTTCCTGCCACTGGTTGTATTCTGTATTCAATGGACTTGAATATTTCATATCTCTGTTTGGTCCACTTTGCTTCAACTTGGCTCTTTAGCTGTGTGTGGTTAACATTTACAAGAGCTTGAAAGTGAAACTGATTATTTTTGCATGTTAAAAATGTAAGAGTGAAGGCAGAGTGAAACTCACCATGTCACAGATGTTCTGCGTTTCCTCAGAGGCAGGCATTACCTCTGTCCATGCTCCAAACATCCCCGCCATTACAGCAAAGTCAAATGTCCGTCGTCAAAATCCTTAATTGAACATGTATGTTTTTTTTTTACTGTGGCTATTCTCTCAGTGTAAAGGCTGGAATGTGGTTCTACTACATAGTGGGTGGAGCAATGTGAGTGAAGCCCTCACCTTTTAGTGGATAAACCTGTTGTAAAACTAGGAACTGCTCACTAGATTCAAGATAATGCAAGACAAAACAATACTTAAAGCAAGAATGAAAACAAACTCACTGACTCACAAATTCAGTACTATACATTCAATAATATTCACTTACAAATTTTATTTTTTATTCTTTTTATATTTTCTCATTTGCAAAAAATAAGCAAACTGTGAAGCTTAACTCCATAGAACAGGGATTTGCAACCTTTAACATCCAATGTTGTGGATTTATATTCAATGCAAATTGAGGTTGGATGCCATAGTTATGTTGTGAATAACATATTCAATATCTGACGAATCTTATTTCGTCAGATATGATTTGGGCTTTTACATATTGTTTATGAACACACACCCTACTAGCTGTGTGTTAGAACAATAAATAAAAGAGTGATTCGAGCATTAATCATGGTCAAACAGTTAATTCTACACATACATGGAATAAATACACCACAACTTCTGTTTAAAATTTAAGAGTTTATTAACAAAAAAATCATTCAGCTCCAAGTCCAAAATATTTCAGTTAAAAATTATTAACTAAAACTAGTGAAAGTCAACCAAACTAAACTACTATGTACAAAGAGGAAGGGGAAACATGATTGAAAACCATATTACAGTTCAAGATGGATCTTAGGTTTGAAAAGCAAAGTTTATCTGGAAGAATTTGGGATATGATCAAATTAGCTTTTCACAAATTTAGAGAAATTACAATGTTTTCAGATCAAATCACAATGCATATCCATGAGGTGAATAAAACATTATATGACCAAATATTTTTTTTATTAAATTATTTGCTTAATCGGGAACCAATAACCTTTGGTCAAATGATTCTTTACCCTCTTTGAAATAGCTGGCAGCGAATAGACATCAGGATTCCACTAAATGACTCTTGGTCATACTTGGTAATTGAAATGCAATGAGCATCTGAGGAACACATGAACACTAATGTTATATCAGTGTTTAAACCCTTAGTGAAATAAAGCTTTTCCAAGCTTCAACAACAGCTCCAAACATATTACTGTAGCATTGCAAAGCATGCAGTCCATCCTTTTAGCTTTGTCTTTACTCATCAGTAAACACATGAAATGATCAAAATCATCAAAAGTCATATTGTTTGTTCTGTCCCTAATTGTGTCAGACCTGCAAACTTTTTTTTTTCCATGTCCACTTAGAAGGTTGAGTTTCATCCAGCAGCAGCTTAGCACAGTTTGAATCCTGAAATGTGGCAAAAGATAAAAAAAAGTTCAAGGAGGCTGAATACTGTCCCAAGGCACTGTACTGTACTTTTTGCATACCTAGTATGTTTATCCCATGCATTATCAATTATCAGTATTCAGCCATTAGTATATTTGAAGATGCTGTCTTTGAAATAGGAAATATTCAGTAACTCCAGTCATGTGTTTAAATATACACAGTATGGCCCCAGATTGCATATTTCTTTGGAGATTTTAGTATCATGTAAAACATTTTGGGGGCGGGGGATCAAGTGAAGGTAAAACACATATTAAAAAGCTTCTGGAAAAATTGTGAACCTTTTTCTTGTGAAAAAATTGTGGAGCTAATTTTTTTTCTATTTTAGGTTGCCATACTATAAATTATATGGCACAATAATTATGGCACTAAAGGTATTTTATATTGTTCCAGCTTCTTTTTGTTGTTGCAACATATTTCCTAATGCTCTAGGCCACAATGCACACTGTCAACATTTGTAGATTTTAATAACTTCTTGTAAATGAAGTGATTAAAACACATGTATGAAGTTTAGTGTGGAGACACTAGCAATTCTGCTTTTCTCATCTAACTACCAACAGATCTTGACATGTGGTCAGTATTTACATTGTAGAAAAATTCCCTGCCGTGTGTTATGTTCAAAATAAATGACCAAGTAATTATGGTTGGATGGGCA